AAAATCACCTGAGGATAGCTGGTATACCTTTACCACTGGAACTCACCGTCTACTATAAATCATAACTTTACCAACGAAACGTAATACTGAAATGGACGTTTCTGTTTATACGAGTTGAATTCTAAAATATGAGTTTCTGTAGTAGGGGTGGAAGACTGAAATTTACTGGGAAATATGTTGAAGTACTCGTACTATTTTCCTGAGACGATTATTATATTACATCACACATTATAAGTTATGTTATCTGCTACCTGTGTCCTTGAGTTTTCTTTTTTCGTATCCTCGTCTGCTCCTTTCTCACCTCGTCACCCTATTGAGCAGATGGGACAATCGGTGATGCCCGTTGACACATGACATCAGAAGATTTGCAAGTGCATTGCTGGCTTTTTGGGAGTCACAAATTTCAGAATTGGGGACTTTTCACTTCCCTGAGGACACGGCAGTGCTCAGCCCAGGCAGAGCATACCGCCACCATATGCTCCAACGTATCCTCTAGGTGGTCCTCGTAATGACTTCAGAATTGGAGATGGGATGGGTAAATAATGCATGCTTGTATTGTTTTAGGCTGGTTTTCTGCGAAAGCGTGGTATCACTAAATTTAAGCCGGCCCATTCACACGTAATTGCAGTCGATTGGAAGCAACCTGCATCCTCTAGTTTCTGCAATCTTTACTCTAAATCAATCTCTTTTGGGGTCATCAAGAAATCGTTTGGGAAGGCCTATACTCAGTAATGGATGGTTTGTGGCATATATGACTACGCTAATAGTGAAACTTAAAAACTTAAATACTATCTAAGTTTATTTGGAGACTTGGGGATTGTGAATTGTGGATTGAGAGTGTTAGGCCTCCGGTAACGCTTTCACGGCAAAACACACAAGAATTTTGCTATACGCCGGTATTCTTTGAGGCAGTGGTATCTCTCCGGCCAAGCCAACCCAATCTCACAGAAGCGTGGCTCTTTCATACTTCAAGGTCACGTATGCTATTTCTCTTCGGAAAATAAACAGCAATGAAGTTTTATGCTATCTTAATGCTTACACAGAGGCACTGTATATACCTTTCAGTATATACTGTTAATGTTATAGCCTTAAAAGCCTTCGTCGTATAACGATGTCGTTATGGGACTAGTTTCGTTATGCTACGCCACTCTCTCGAAAACTGACCGTTTCCGCCTTAATTAGTACCATTAAAGTGAAGTATTAGCTTATTTCCTACGAGAGAATATTTATTTAAGTAAATAATGTTTTGTAAATAATTAAAGCGTGGTTTTTAAAGGTCGTTTCTTGAGAATAGGTCTTTTTTAGCAGTGTATATTTATAATCTGATGATCATGAAATGTTATTTATATAAATGACCAGAAAATGTAAATTAAACTGATGATTGGGGACCATCAAATGACTTTTCCTGCCCAAAAGACTAAAACCTCGCTAAGTACTTTCCCTGCTTGAACAGAAACCCCGTCATACAAGCTACTTAATGATATCTAATGAATGGGTACTCAAGTGTCAATTAAGCTAAGGAGTATTTCACACACTGTACACACACATAGATCCAACAATACCATGACTCCTAATTAGAAACTCATTCCCAACAGTAAGCAAGGATCTAAGCACAACATATAGCAACATACGTGTGTTGAAACATAGCTACCTACCCTCTAAATGTTCAAACTGATTAATTGCAGCTGTCAGCAGGACGGCGCCGCGTTGTTGTCTAATGCGATACAACCCATTAATTACATCTTACTATGATAAATTCAAATTATAACTGCACGCTTATTTCTCACAAATTGGGTGTACTAGAATTCTATAATTATTATTTTTTTTTTGAGTTACTGTATTTCTGCAGCTAATATACGGAGATTATTGTATTTATTTATTTATTGAATAATATGTAAATTTATGCTTGTAATTAAAAATGTATTTTCAATTTCAAGAACGCATAGTAAATATAGTTTTTTTAGATTACAGTTTTTTTTTCATTTATGAGTGCTATTTGTAAATAAATATTAATTATAAATACTTTGCTTCCATTTTGCGAAGTAATGAACCTTATAAAAAAAGTCAAAAGTAATGCAAACCTAAAACCATTAATAAACAGCTTATAAAAACGTCTAAACATCCTACCGCTGTGTCCCCAAAATTATAATTCAGGACTGCACCCTAGAACGATCACGTACAATATTCTAAAAGAGCCTAACTCACATTACAATATTAGTTTCATCCGTAACCGATGAGCTATATAAATAAAACAAATGCTCCTGTCCCGTTTCTACCCCGGGACATTATTCAAGCTAAATCCCGGGATTTGCCGGGACTCCCTGCGAATCTCTTAACATTACCGTTAAATTGTTTTATGGCGGAAAAAATTGCCAACGAAATTAAATTTCTTGATAGATATTATGCAATTAGCTAGTTTGTGGATAGTTTTTATTAACTGTTCGAGTTATCAGTTTGTTGTGAATGAAAGGTGTTGCTAAACATTGGTTATGTAAACATCATGATATTTTTGTAAATTATGATAATTTTGTACTATTATTACAACACTCCCTCCAATAAATGTGGAAATTGTGTGCTTAAGTGTGGGTGAGCCATGCTTCGGCACGATTGGGTCGGCTCGACCAGAGTGGTACCACGGCCTCACAGAAAACCGGCGTAAAATAACCACAGCGTTGTGTTTCGCCGTGTGAGTGAGGTTACCGGAGGCCCAATCCTTCCCCTCCCCCAATCCCTCCTCAATCACTAAATCTCCAAATCCCTAATCCCTAAAAGATCGGCAACGCACTCGTAACTCCTCCGTTGCGAGTGTCCATGGGCGGCACTGATTGCTTACCATCATTACATAAAAAAAATAGAATAAAAAAACAGCTGGACACTTTGGACGACCGTACAGTAGAATGATCATATGTTGGTGGTATTTTCGAACCGATACGACCTTCATACTACCTAACAAAAACGTACCTACTCTTTCTTAAAAGCCGGCAACGCACTTGTGTTGATAGTAGCAACACGTAATCCGCCTCCTGCCCCATAAAAATGCTATCGTCACCTTCATACTGAGTAGCTAAAACTCTGTATACCTAATGCATTTTCTATGACACAGGGAAATTATATAAGCACTACGTACAACCATTAACATAATTATCATGTTTTACAACACATTAACATTAATAGCACAGACCTACATCCCCGAGTGTAACTCCAACAAATTCAGTAATATCACACTGAAGTTTATAAGTTACTTCATCGGGCAATCCTATGTAACTTTTCAGGTGTTGCCTAAGTACCTGCACGGCTGATTACATGTAAATGTAACTCAAACTGAGCTGGCAACTTCACAATTGTTGGTTCAATTCCGGAAAGTTCTTTCGCCTTGCTCCCGTTGTTAATTTACAATGAATGCACATTGAACGTGTTTGAAATGTGATGTGAAGTTGGGTAATTGGAGTTAGTTGTGTGTTTGAGTGACTACATAAGTATGTAGATGACTATATTTTGTAGTATTTTTAGGGCTTATTTACTTCCTGGTAGTTTAGTGGTCAGACTTTTACTGACTAAAAAGCACTCTGTTCTGACTTCTGATCGGGGCCAGGGCCGCAGCAATTTATTGCGCTTTCACCCGCAACTTCGGCTAGATATCAGCCCTAGTGGGCCCCTTCTGTAGTCTGGCGACTCTAAGAGTGGTGCGTAGAACGCGGTGGCTCTGATAGGGGATGATCTACCCGTGCCAGCCTCCCGGCGTGTACGGAGCCGGTCTCCTGCGAGACGTGAGGAGGACTGTTCTCTAAAGCGAACCGCCTCCTTTGCTTAAAGAAGAGACGGCTTCCCAGAGCTTTCATTCCGCAATAGCCTTAGCTAAAGCCAAGTGTGAGAAATCAGAACCGTCGATTGCTTCCCTAATTCCTTTCTAGTCGAGAAAACGCACGTGCAACTTCCGAATGAGTGATCTTGAGATTGACCCGGGTTTATCATTCAAGTTTAAGGTTAACCAATACAATAAAATGTTTTGATAAAAGTGCGGCCAAGAAATATTGAATAGTAAAATTTACCAATCTATCTACTAATCTACTCGTCAAACAGCAGTGTGATTCTGTAAGACTTCATTCTAAACTTCGAATCTGAATCCGCCGTGAGAAGTAGTACACTAGCGCTACACTTGCGAGTTGAACTAAATTGATAGCATCATTTTGATAGATAAAGTATGAAATGACGTTAAAAGTGGAATTCTAAAATTTAATTTCCCCGTCACTTCGACACTCACTTCACACTCGAATACGACTCAAAATCAAACAAATTTTATAGAATCTACGTGCTGTGGTCTATTTCTATTCTTGCACCATCTACACAAGTTACAGATTCTTTCTCTATATTTTAATAAAACACAAAAACAATAAAAATAATTTTAGATGGCGGCCATTTCTCTTGCAGTAATAACAAATATTTATCTTGCTTAGAAGGGCAAGGATTCGCATCAGTTTGGCTGCCCGCCAGGCGGTGTGCCCAAGACATGTCCATGGTCTGAGCCATTGGTTTCATTCTTGTTCTAGCAATGAGGAGTTTTGAATAGCTTCTACGTTTTTATTTGATGTTTTGTATGATTCAAAAAGTCCATTTATTGCAATAAAAATAGAATATAATTATTATGTTACTAATTTCAAATTTTTACTGATTTCAGTTAGATGAAAGTAAGTTGTAAAGTTATTTCGACGAGCATGAAAATATTTATTAATAATTATGAACGTAGAAGAAACAAAGGAGGTATTTTTCACTGCTAAGATGGGAGAGACGGGCGTGTACATTATATATGTACAAATTTTAAATTATCATTAAACTATTTGTAATTCTTTTCTCTACTTTTTTTCTCGTCGAAAACGTTAAAATTAATTGCTTTTAATATTTTGGCCAAAAAAAATCACCAAACACGTAAAATCAAAACCAACGTTAGCTGAAATTGGGTTCTTTTTAAGAGTGGAAAATCATCAAATGACTTCTTCCACCAGGAAGAAGTCATTTAAGCCCGCCCCCGTTTAGCCCCGCGCCCCGGAAGCCCCCGTTCCTTCTCCTATTCTGGGCCGAGGCCGCGGTGCCTCATTGCGCTTGCCCCGCAACCTCGGCTGAACATCAGTATCCTAGGGCCCTATCTGTGGCGGTATATTGGATCTTTGAGGCGCGCGCTAATCGCTACGCAGCGCACGGTTGTGTCTGGTTCTGGTCAGGCGGCGAGCAATCCTTACTCGCCGTCAGTAGATCCGCACTTACGGTGACCGGAGATCGTATCTTGTGAGATTGGGGGTGCAACCGCAATTATATATCGCGGCCGGGGCCTGGAGCAGGAAAAGGAACGGCGTGGTTTTTAGTCAGTAAGAGTCTGACATACCATTTTGCCCCACCCAGAGCAAGAAAAGTCATTTGACAATTTACACTAAAAACCTAGTTAAATTCACGATAAAATTAACGTAAAAAGTTGGTGAAAAGTTTCTCCACCGCGCTTGTCACTCCGTATTAGGGAATCTCCGCGACTTGGCCGGATTTTGGCACGATCCTAAAGGAAAACTTTACACTTTATTCCTTACCTACCGGTTAAAGGAGTTAGCTGTTTTCGTCAAGTGTCTCCTTAATTAATTTTTAAATAGAATTTTCTATGGAATGGTCTTAGGTAGTTTACTTAAGTGAAAGTTTTTTATGGGATAGATCGGCAAACGTGCAGACGGATGAACTGATTGTTAGAAATCAGCGCCACCTATGAATACTCGTAATACCAAAGTTTTACTATGACAGCAGAGGTGTTACAAATGCGTTGCCGACCTTTTCAGGATTAGGGATTTGGGCAGATTTAGTGATTGGAAGAGACGAAGGATTGGGCCTCTGGTTACCTCACTCATTCAACGAAACACACTGTAGGTGTTCTCAGTTTTCTATGAGGCCATGTGGTATCACTCCGGTCGGACAGATTCGTGCCGAAGCATGGTTCTCCCACTCTTCAAAAAAGGTAAGTAGATATTGGAATTTACCGTGCATAGATTTACTTCCCATAGTGGTGTAGCTGTAGGAGGTGGGTCAGTCTTTTAATAACTAGTACCATATCAGACTTACCGGTTCTATTAATAATTGTCAAATTTGAACAATAACATTCTTTTGCTAATTCAAAAATGGAATCTAAAAAATTCACATAATTTTTTTTCTAGACAAATTCTGTTTTTTTCTTACTTTTTCTTTTTAAAAAAACATTGCCTTACCTTAGGATTATCCCCTGAATCGTGTGGTGAGGTTACAAACATACAATTTCACATACACATGACACCCAGACCCGGAACAACAATTTGTGGATCACACGAAGAGTTGTTCCGTCCGGGAATCGAAGCCGCGACACGTTGCACGGCAGCCAGTTGCCCAGCCACCGCACCAACCGTGCAATTTCAAACGCAATTTATTCGTTAATTTGACGATAAGCTTTATTGTGATGATGATGATAATGATGATGATTTTGATGAATAAAGACAACACAAGTCTGTTACTAAATTTATTGAAAATAACTTACGTGAATTAACTGAGAACAGTGTTACTACTTCCAATATACAGCGGGAATCTTATCAGCTACTAGACCATCACAACTCAGCCAGGGCTGTGGGGCAAAAGCAATAATGAACCGTTGTTTCGGTCTGGATCAAGAGAAAGAACGGGATGGTTTTTTAGTCTGTAAGAGTATAACACTCCCTGTCCCCTCATCACTTACTTTAAGGAAAAAACCAAGACTCTGATCCATGAGTCATGACTCTTTATTTATATCTCATAGTTAAGTTATTGTATAAGTATTGAATTTCAGCTAATAACAAATACCGTTTAGCACTGTGTCCACTCGACAAAGAAAACGTTACTGGTTGCACAGAAAATTAAAAAGAAAACAATGCACGCCCTTTAAAAACCTTTTCAATCCAATTTACTCAGCTAAAGCTGAGAGTTCAGCCAAGTTGTGGAGATTAGCCAAGTTACGCCGCCACCGGCCAAGTTTGCCTCAATAAATCGTGCAATTTTAAAACCAAGTGGTTTACCTTTCTGATGAGAAACTTTAGTTTTTTCAATTCAATATTTTATTTCTTTCGTGATAGTGATTGTTTTTCAACAATGTTATTACTGGAGCACCCTTGAATAAAAGTTTTAAAATATCGAAATTTATGTTAATAACTTATTTGTTATTAATCAGTAATGAAATTACAACGAATAATAATAGGAAATAACGAGTAAAATTTGTGTATAATAAGTTTGGGAGAGACAGTCTTCAGCACGAATGGGTCGGCTCACCCAGAGTGATACCACGGCCTCACAGAATTTCAGTGTGAAGTTGTTCTGCTAATCAATTCGCAAACAATTTTTTTTTTTTGAGGGAGAGTTAACGTCTTACTTGACTAAGGAACTGGCTTCTCCTTCTCCAGACTGGGGCCGAGGTCGCCAGCAGCATCAGCTCTATTGGACCCCCTCTGTGGTGGTCTGTTGGTTCTTTGGTGCGTGGGGGAAGTGCTACGCGCCTAGACCATTATGTACGCCATGCTCTGGTTCTGGTTGGGTAGCTAAGTACCCTTGCTCAAGGTCATATTTAAATTCTCGACTACCTCCCACGTTCCGAAATCACAATACCTTCGACTAAATATTTAATAAATAGACGAAGCGCATATCCAACTCCTGATAACTAAAACACAATAACTCCAGTTTCCATCGTCACACGTCAAGGTTCATCAAATTTTCAAAGCTCCTGAAAACCCTACGTGAAGGCTTTAACAGCTCGTTATATGCAGACTCCTCATGAATTCCCATTGTGAGGATATTCACTCGTCAAAAGGTCTTTGAACGGTGCTATGGAATAACTAACAGCTAGAATTTTATAGGAGTACCTATTGTATTGGTATGGTATATGGTACATTTTTGGGTGTATTCCAATATAATGTACATGTTTATTATTATTATGAATTAAACTTTGTGAGATCAGTGCAGATCAGTGGAAGGTAAAAACAACGTTTCCATTTTCTTTTTCTCAAATTTATTTGTGATTATATATCTTCTGATTTATTTCTTTGATGGTTCCAAGAAATCCTTGTCCGTGGGACGGGCAGGATTTCAGTGTTTCATTGTTTTCATAGTTTTGACACATCGATGCAGGCACGGTTACTTGATTGATAGGTTTTACTATAGAGGTTACTGGACGTTTAATCTCATCTTCCATCCCCCATCCCTACAACCATACATCTCCAAATCCCCAAATCTCCAAAGGCAATGCTCTGGTATCTCGTGACCTTGGGCATCGCCAATTGTATATAATCATGAGATCCATAATTAAGCGTGTTTATTCCCAAAAAGACTGCTATTCTTGGAAGGGACGCGAAGAGGTGCGCTTTTTTGTATTAAACACTTTTATTCATTTTCTGAGAAACGATAATGGAACAAACTTGTTGTTGGAAAAATCACGATTTTACACTCAACGCCATTACTGAGAATTCTGAGAATTTTCAATAAAAATAACGAAAATACTTTGTTGGAGTCGAAAATGAATTTCAAGATTAATCATTCGGTTGCTGGTAATTATTAAGTAACTTGATCACATGCAAGTTAAGCGTAGTGACATGGCAACTGGCTGTTGTACAACCTGTCGCCGCTTCCCTTACCAAACATAAATATTTGTTCCGGGCCAGGATGTGATGTGCATATATACACACCAACAGCACAAAAGAACATTCCGGATAATGTCTTTATAAAAAAAACATTACTTATAATTAATAATTTTTTTTTTATGTAAAAGGTCGGCAAACGAGCAGACGGATTACCTGATGGTAAGCAATCAGCGCCGCCCATGGACACCCGCAACTGTGGAGTTACGAGTGCGTTGCCGACCTTTTAGGGATTAGGGATTTGGAGATTTAGGGATTGAGGAGGGATTGGGGGAGGGGAAGGATTGGGCCTCCAGTAACCTCACTCACATGGCGAAACACAACTCTGTGGTTGTCTCACGCCGGTTTTCTGTGAGGCCGTGGTATCACTCCGGTCGAGCCGACCCATTCGTGCCGAAACATGGCTCTGCCACACTTATTTAATCAATAATTTAATTATGTCGTAAATCAATTGAAACCAAACTTGCTATATAATAAATAGTTCTGAAATATTATTCAACAATGGTCAGTATGTTTTTTCGACCTTAACAGCACATTCAAACAAAGTTTTGTAGCAGAAAAGGCAATTATTATCTCAAGTGAAATTCGTTTTTCGTGCGAAAATTTTAATGTAGCACAGTTAATGACTTAGAAATATGATTAGGCTCTTTTTTACGAAAACTCTCGAGGCAAAGGTGGCCAGATAATACTGTTCTGGCAAACGATATAAATTGTTAGCTGACTAATCGAATTTTAACACTTCGTTAACGATATCTTTTATCGCATTTTTTTTCGCGGAAAGCTCTGCTGTTTTCTCCACATTTTTAAGGGCGTCTTTCAACACCTTTTGAGAAGTACCCGATAAGTCTGTATGGCACATAATTTTCTTTTATATTCAAACTATCTGGTACATAGCGGTTATCAAGAAATTGCAAGATTGACCATAAGTTTTCGCGAGCTTTTATACAATAAACTTCTTGCTAGGTATTTTTCGATGGAATATATGAAAATTTATTTTCGTTATACATCTGTTGAATGTCTACTTTTAACATGTTACAATTTTCATGACAATAATACACACCCACGAATAATTTAGAAAAAAAATATACGATTGCATGGTTGGCGTGGTGGACGGACAACTGACTGCCAACGTGTCGTTGGTTCGATTTCCGCACGGAACAACTCAGTGATCAACAAATACCATATTGTTCTTGTTAAAAATGTTTTAAAATGTATTTTGTTTGCGTCTCATTTCCATTCCATATTGTCCCGAATCTGGGTGTGATGTGTATGTGAAGTTGTATGTTTGTAAACACAGGAGAAAATCCTTATGTGGTGCAAAGATTTTCTTTAAAAAAGAGTTTTCGAAATAAATGAGACGCAAACAAAATATATTTTAAGACATTTTAACCAGAAGAAAATAAATATAATGAATAGCTATGATAACATTCACCAAACAAATATAATTTTCCATTCACAAAACTTGTTATTTCATCGTTCAAACAATATAGAACTACTAAAAATATTCGGTAGCACCAACCCCTGGCACAAGTAAATTACAGAGGTGTAAGAAAGAACTAACGTCAACATTGTGGACCCTCCCGGAGGAGGCATACTTCAGATTTATTTTAGACCCTCACAGATGTAGAAAATGTTTGTCGATGGATGACGATTTTTTTACTCTGTTTTGTATGAAAGAAAATTAAAGAATAAAGCTTATTTTAAAATATTATCCCTATCATGTGATTGTGTGATGTACTGAGAGAAAATTTTTAAATGGATTGTACTTTATTTGCATACTTTTCCGTAAGATTTTCAGGTGAGGATTATAATTAATAATTAATCAAATCCAAGCAGTCGTGTAATTAATAAAATAATACCTAAGATGATTTTTTGTGGAACGATAATCTTCATAGGTGACGCGTGAGGGAAAGTCAGACTTTTATTGACTAAAAATCACCCTGTTCTTTCTCCGGTTTAGAGCCGGGCTGCGGTACATTCGTTATTGTGCCTTGCCTGCGACCCCAGCTATCTACCCCTACTATCGGTTTGATAAAAACTTATATATAACTCATAAAATGCCGTATCCTCTTCCTTCCTAACTTCCAGCGTATCAGGTAGGGCCAGCCCCAAACCTTTATGACGTCAGCATTTCAGTGACGTTTCCCAGCGCTGAGTTATTGCGGTGTCATAATTTTAATGGTTTCTAAACTTCCCTTTTAGACGCTTTGAATGTCATGTGGGACTAGCAGAAATGTAAGCGATATGACGTCCAGTTTACTACTTATGTAATAAATTATTAAAGAGTGGCTTTTTGTTAGAGGATCTCGGCAAACTGGGTTCTGTGTTTGTGGATGTCGTAATGATTCACGCGTAAAAAGAGGTTGGCTTAGCCTTCGGGACATTAGGACGATAAACTTTTTGTAAGTACTGCAATATATTTTAAACCAAACTTTTTAGTATATAAAGTACAATATAGTTTAAGCTTTACAAACAATAAACTCAGGAACCTGACCAAAAATCAATTACGTGCTCATTTTACAGTCGACTGAACATCTATAGATGAAACAAAGGCCATTATTACACCAAGCCTTCTGTAAAAACTATGTACTGTGCTATTATTTACTACATATCATATATATTACATATGGGATATCGTTTTAAAATATGGTAACAAAGATTATGAAAGGGAAGAATGGTTTTATTTAAACTCCATACAAGTGTTTTTGTCAGAATCACCAAGGTGTGGAATTCTTTAACAGGATCCATTTACGACAGGTATAAAACCAAGATTGGAGTAAATAGTTTGCTAATGAACGAGCGTCCGTCATCCTCGTTGTCATAAAAAATGCCTTAATTTACCAAATCTGCCTCATTGATATAACTTCTGGAGAACGTATCTCACATTCGATTTTTGAATTAGGCAGTGTTATTGAATCAGTGAGAACATGAAGTTTAAACATTTAAATTGGATCCAGTGTGTGACACCACCTCATTCCTCTCTCTCTCTTGCGTAATCAAAAGTTTCATAACAAAAAACTACGACCAAACAAAAACATCTTAAAAAATATTTTCCCTACGAGTCGGTTAAAAAGAAAATGTGTAATGACATTTGGTATGGGTGGACAAGCGGACAGGCAAGCGAAATCTGCTGAAACTCGTTCAATTACAGCGGGAATGTTTTCAGATAGCTACAGCAGTACGAGGTAGGGTGACTACTAGTTACATGATTTTGTGAGACAAGAATAATTTTGTGTGGAAATGATTACGTATATTTTTGATCAGTGAGACAGTAGGTCATTGTATGAAAGTGATCTCTTATCGCACCCACAGAGAGCATGTTTCACTTATTGTAACATGCATAACTACTTCTGTGTTGAAAAATAACAAAACAAGAGTAATCGTTGCAAGTACAAGCCCGAGGTTAGAGATGAAAATACAATAGTATACCGTTACCCAGTTAGGAGCTGGAGAAGAAGGAACGGGGTGGTTTTGAGTCTGAAATAATCCGGGCTCCCTCGCTAAAAATACGGTGAGAGAGGCAATTTGATGATTTTCTCCTACAAAGATAAAACTCCTTTACCTGGAAATCTGTTAACTACGCAAATTGATTCTAATTCCTCATTATCATAGCACGCCACTGAGCTCGATGTTCAGCTGATCTCATCCAACCACTGCCAGCCACCCTGCGGATATCGTCAGTCCACCTAGCTGTAGGGCGCCCTACACTACGTTTGCCTAGATGTGGTCTCCTATAACACGACGTCTACTCCAACGGTCATCGGTTCTTCGACAAATGTGACCTGCCCACTTCAGTATGCTAATACTTTGGGCTAATTCTTTCTAATTCGTGGTAATGACAAAAATATCAAGACACACATTCAATACATTTTATCAGGATACATAAATAGCCTGACAAAAAACAGATTACGTCAGTCAGACAGTTCAGAAAGAATAATAAGCACACACACATTAAAAATATAGAGAGCTTGTGACACGTTCTTAGTTCTTAAATTAAAATTTACCCTATAATATATATTCTATATTGAAATTTCATAACACAAACAGAAATTAGGCCCTTAGTTAAAAATACTTGTATACTATTTTTTGTCCACTGTATCCACTAATTCATGGGCACCCAACTTACAGGCATAACAATGGATACGCCAATGAATTGGTATTTTGAAAACTATTCACGAATGATCCAATTCTATCCATTGCTGTTCACGTGTCTGACATTCCGCTCACAACGATGCAGCAGCTTTTCAAGATGTTTCAGCTTCCTGAAATTTCAGTGCTTGTTTGCAACATTGAATGTTGCATAGAAAGTTCGCTTTGTTTTTAGAAAAGGTTTTGTGAATAAATGTAATGCAGATTGTTAGTTTTTCTTTAACGGTTTAGTTTGTTATTCGAAATAACCAATACGACCTTGAAATCTTAATGAAAAGACCTACTAAGTATTTCTTATATAAACTGCTGAGCCAACTACTTCTTGTAAATTATAGGGATTATCTTTTCAAATGTATGACGCAACCAACTAGTTTATTCAGCCATTCCATTAACAGCCAAATCTAATAACAATTTTGCAGTACATGCAATGTGGGTGGCTGGTTATTGGTAATGGCTATAACATAACCTAACCTATTATTCACAACCAGGTCGCGGAAGAAGCGCAATAACCTACTGCAGCCCTGGCCCGAAGCAGGAGAAGGAACGGGGTGATTTTAAGTTAGTAAGATGAAGAAACCTAAACCATCTTACCCCACCCAGATTGGAAGAAGTGACAATACAGATATTCCCTCTTAAAAAAAATTTAGACTCTGGCAGCATATATACCTTTAAACATAGAACAGTAACACCAAGACTTATATGGAAAGCAATTTCCCAAACTAATATAACGTCAGGTACGATCCCATTACCTTAACTAAATACTAGTTTTAACGTACCTAACTGTACTTTAATAAAAGATATGAGGGCTTACGACCTAGACTGGTACCTAGTAGCCATGTCCTAAAGGACCCTAGCTTGTCTTATTACAATCGCAATATCTTGCTTACAGCCATTAAATGGCGGGTAATTTTGCCGACATCTTGTCATTTGATGTTTTTTTTGTAACCCGTCCCAATACTTTTTTATTTCTAGTTTTTTTTATTATTATTATTATTTGATAAAGTACATGAACCGAATGATATTTTTTATCGGTAAATAATTGTTGCTGGGTTATGAATATTATAGTTTTTTTTAAAGTCAGAAAAGTTTCGCTACTGCAATAGTGTTCATAATATTTGCAATGTTTCTAAAAAATCCTTCGTAAGTCCGGTAACATACTTGTAACATTATAGTGCTGAAGGTGTCAAAAGATCAGCTGGAGTTTTGGGTCAAGAGCAGCAAGGTCCGCGACCTAGAGCAGCGGAGGAAACAGGGGTTTTTATTCAGTAAGAGTGACACTCCCTCTCGCCAAAACTTGAACGAGAGAGAACTTGAGAGACATTTTAAGACTGGTATGAATTAAGAAAAATATTATTAAAGACATCGATCAGTCATGAAAAAAACTGTTACAAAACAATGATCAGATCCGATGCAATCAGCATACCATAAAGTTCATTATCGATAAACAAATCACTGTTTGTCCTTTAGTAAGCAAACAGTCAGGGCGATGTAATTATGGTCAATAAAGTCCACAAACAATATCAATTTCATTATACATTATACAATTTCAAATCATAGGCTTCAATTATGGAAATTGATAGCATTAACTCAGAAACTATTGATATCAAAGGATATCCGGACATCGATAGAAATGTGACAACTTAATTGCTATCCGACCAATTTCATGTCAAGTTTGAATATAGGATTATTAGTAAAATAGCTTAGTTAACCCTGCGGCTTTGTCTGCATCGAATGTTCAACAATGCTACTTTTTTTCTAATATTTCTATCGTAACACAAACCTAGTAAATTGATTAAAAATATAGGACTATTCACATAAAATAACTGAAGAGCTTTCTTCAGTTACTACTTCTACTAGTTTCAAACAAAACGGGACTCTTATTAACTATCAGCTAACGTCGAATTTTAATTAAACTTCGTTACATGTTGGCTTCTAATTGCTACTTTAAAGATTATTTCACATAAATAACAAACAGCATCTTCTACGTAAGAGGGTCTGATATAAATGTACTGATCAACATCATCAGCCTATAAAACGCACTGCTGAGCGAAAGCCTCTTCCCATACGCAGAAAGTTTGAGCGCCAGTAACTATACTTGTTCAAGGTGAATAGGAACTTAAGTCCTGGTTTCTTCACTATGTTTTCCTTCGCCGTTTCTCAGTGGTGTCTCAATAAACTAAAAAAACTCAAAAAACGTCATATTGGTACTCGCCAGGTTTCGAACCTTCTCAATCATGAATGTCGTCATGGCTGAGGAAGCCTGGTGCCTGTTACTACAGACCACCACGACAATAAAAAAACATGTTCTTATAATGAACAGTATTGCGAATAATACATTACAAAAAACATACGAGAGCGTTTCAGCATAAATTCTATCAAATTTTAGGATGAGTAATCTGGCGAGCATGTTAGACAATGACAGTAAAGTAACAAGATTGAAGAAGTCTTAGAGAAGAATATTTATGACGAGCACCGACTAGAACGTTCGCTAGAGTGGCCATGAAATTGTTTAAACAAATGTTTAGCTGTATGCTTGGCTTGGTCCGTTTTAAAATTCGGCAAATTGACCATACAGAGTACTCAGGTACTTAATATTTGTGGGTAAATTGAAGGTTTATATACATAATCAAATATTGTACTGTCAAAGGCTTTAGACAGGTCATAGAATTTTTTAACTCTCATCTAATGTGAACATTCGTTACAAACAAACAAAGTTTCCTTTTCTAAATATTAATATTACTAACAATGCTGCAAGTTGACGTTCAAAATGAAATCGGTACGGATACCAAAAAAATGCAATTTTAGTTTTTCTTTTCAGATATATCATAGTAACTGTACTATGTCCAAATACTGTCATATCTCTTTCAAAAGTATTGTTTAGGTTAGGTCTAGGTTGGAACCGAACACAAAAGGCCGCAACTGATTTTTATATACACACACAACTATCTCTGTGTCAAATTTATTCAAATCTTATCATAATTTTACATGAAAGAGTAACAAAGATCCAGCCAACCATCCTCAACTTTCGCGTATATAATATTAGTAGTATAGTAGGATGATATGTCACGCGGTCAAAAACCGTTACTGTTTCATCCTAATGCGGCTGAAGCCTCAGATAGGTCTAATATTTTTTTCAGTTAACAACAAACCTATTTATTGCTATTATGATTGAATTATAAAAATGAAATATGTTTTTTATTAAAACTACTCAATGAAAAACTCCAGGAATGACTATTGAGACATACACATGGAAATCGTATAAAAACATTTCATAATATGAAAAGATTTCAATGACACTCGTTGTTGCATCGAACTGCAGATTATACAGTATTCGAGTGTTGCCGAGTGATTACGATTTCACCCGGAGTTTGTAAGCTGTATTAAATGCGTATGAAACGTTGAACAATAGTTTAATCTTATTTAAGTGGAATCGTTAACCGAGAAATTGTTTCGGATAATGATTGAATATGATTTCTTTTATTTTTTAAAGAATCCTAAGAAGAAGCCCAGCAAGGCAATTCTCCTGTGTCGTAGTGCGTTTGCAAACATTCAATTTCACATACACATCACACCCAAACTCGGAACCACAATTTGTGAATCACACAAAGATTTGTTCAGTGCGGGAATGGAACCCGCGACACGTTGCGTGGTAGCCAGTTGCCCAACCCCAAGATTATTTTAATAACAGGTGTGACAGAGCCATGCTTCGGCACGAATGAGTCGGCTCGACTGGAATGCCATAGAAGCCAAATAGCCACAGCATTGTGTTTCGCAGTGCGTGTGTTGTTACCGGAGGCCTAATCCTTCTTCCCCACCCCTCCCTAAATTTCTGAAAGCCTAGTGCCCAAGAAGCCGGAACCGCACTCTTCTGGTGTTTTGAGTGCCCATGACCGGCGCCGATTGCTTGCCATCACTTAATCCATGTGCTTGTTTGCTTCACATAAAAAGTAGAATTTTGGATAATCGATATAATTTTAGTTCTAAAAAGAAAAGTTATCAGAAACTACATAAGGATTCATCGGTATAGGATGTGGCTAAATTATCTAGATACTGTTTTGTTTCCATCGTGGAATATGATTAACAGATACCTATGGTGAAAATTCTGATGTATAAAACGTGTACTTATTAAAAATCATTTCTTGTCTTCTCTATACTTAATATTAATAAAAGTTTTTTTTTCTATATCATAATTTCATTAGGTTTTATTTCATCAATTTATTTTTTACAACAATGCCAACATCATTCAATGTTTTTTAATATGTCTGCGTAAAAATAAAAAAAATACACTCAACAATTTCATAAACTCATGTGTGTATTTAAAAATATACCTTATGTTTAAAACATTGTATGTATATCGAGATGTAAATTCTCCGCACCCATACCATATAGGGTTGCTACCTAAATATTTTATCATATTTCTTGCCGCAGACTTTGGGTTGGATGTCACGCGCAGCCCTGTAACAATTTATCACGTGGATCAGACACTGATCGTATTTTTCTAGAATCTTCGAAATCATATTTGATAAATGTATCTGTTTGATACAGACGGAATCAAAAGGTGGAAGATTGATTGGGAAATATATCTTTGTACTGTACATAAGCAGCGTTCTTGAACCTTTAACAACGTCGACATTTATATATTTTTTATCCATACTATTGTCTACTAATATTATAAACTAGCTTCCGTTGCCACTTGTTATTCTTACAGGCAAAACTGCAGGACCGATTTGATTAAAATTTAGAAAGTAGATAGCTATAACACATAGCTTGCTTTTAATTATCATACCACGCGGTCGAAGCAGCGGACATAAGCTAGTAATAATAATAATTTTATCACTAGCTTCTATTATGAAATCTTATATAAAAATTGTAGATAATACACTGGTTCATCTAGTAAATGCACCAGTCACAATTATCACATAATTCCTAATTTTTATATGGAACTGTATATACAAAGAAAATACCAACCCATTTTCCCTGCAGGAATCTGTTTGTTTTCCAATTTACTTGGAAATCTCTCAGAGCATTAATCGAACGCGAGTTTTTACTTCACATTATTGGAATTTCAAAGATTACTGTAGCTAGCGAATTTATCGAAGGAGTGGAAAAATAGAGGATTGAAAAGCCCGTTACCATGGAAACCGCTTACTTTGTGATTAAGTTTTATATTAACAACTGAATCAATAGTTTCACTATCAGATATAAGCGGAGACAGTGATCGGTCTGGTTCGATGATCATATTTTTTTTTGTAAGGGGAAAATTGTCCAATGACTTCTCCCGCCCACGGTAAGGCGAGAGAGAGTGTCAGACTCTTACTGACTAAAAACCCCCCGTTCCTTCTCCTGCTCTCGGCCGAGGTCGCGGTGCCTCATTGCGCTTACCCCGCTACCCCGGCTGAACATCAGGTCTGTTGGGCCCCGTCTGTGGCGGTCTATTGGCTCTTTAAGGCGCGCGGAACGCTACGCGCCGTACGCTCGGGTCTCGTTCTGGTCAGGCGGCGAGCTACCCTTACTCGCCGTCCTTCTCGGCGCTTATGGTGGCCGGAGATCATCTCTCGATCCCCGACGCCCGGAATGTCGCCTTGGTTCGATGATCCTGATGGTTAGCAATCAGAACAAAAAGTGAAATAAATTTAAAAACAACTGCATCACAATCACAAGTATAAAGAAATTATAACCACGTTTGCCTGTTAATCACTGAAATTTGGATGAACCTACTCTTCAAAAATATATGTATAACAATAGCATTTAACTAATCTACTCAACGCTTCCCAATTAATAAAATCTGACTTTGAAACGTTTTTTTAGGCACAGGGCTGTTAATGGGCAGAGGAATAACTTAAAAAAAATTGTTTATGTTTTCCTGGTCCTGAATGAGAGAAACATACAACTTCATATACACATGTTGTTGTGTTATGTTGTTCCGTGCGGGGATCAACCGGCTACACGTTGTGCGACAACCGGTTGTCCAGTCACCGCGTCAACTGTACAGTCGAAACAAAACCTAATGGTAATACTTACACATAGCTTATGAAATCTCGCGACTTTTGAAAATTGAAAAAACCTACTAAAAATATATTTTTTTTTACCCTGACCGTACTTCAAAAAGAATAGTATAAAACTCAAAGCTAAGCGTATGAAGTCACATTAAGCAGTCATATAGCATCAAGATGTTATGTCAAGCTTGGCTGACGTCGATACTGTTTCACGTCACACTGGGTTTGAGTCAACATGCTGTGCAATTCGGTGTTGAGTACTTCCAGTATAGAGGGCTTAAATTTATTTGTGTCATGATTTGTGATAACAATTTTAGTTGTAAGTATTGTATAATTGTAGAAAATAGTACATTTGTAGTCGGTAAGGGTGTTGTAAGATGCGAATGGCGACTTAACATTCGGCGTAGAGAACTAAGACGGAGAGGCCTTAGTCCAGCAGACGTCCGTCTTCCGGCTAATGATTATGATGAAGGGTGTCATAAGAGCCTACCAAGAGACCACAATTGGACATAGACTGGTCAGCAGGGCTCTCTGACAATACTTTATTTTCGGAAAAATCATCAATTGACTTAACCCGCGCTGGGTGGCACGGAAAGGAAAAAAGTCTCCAAGATAGAGAATAGATAGAAAGTCTCTATGCTCTCACTGACTTAAAACCGTCCCAATGGCAGCCGGCGAGCTATCTTTACTAACTTAACCACCTTTATGGTTCCTTCCTGGAAGTCTTTGAAACTATTATTTTCTAAATTGCCTGCCAAGCATGAAGATTATGGAAAACCTATCCTGTATCAAAGCAATATAACTTCACACTGATTAAGTATATCGTAGCAACCATAGTCACACTACAAAATATAACGCAGTGGTTGTGTCACGACGATTGTTGACGCTTTTTTTCGAAGCCATGGTATCATTTCGGTTGAGCTGACCCATTCGTGCTCGTTCATACTAAAAGTAATTGTAATAAAATGTTTTTTTTTTACTATCACTTATTTTGTTTTCAGGGACAGTTCAATATTCTAAGGCGTCACAAAATCACTCTATGGCGATTTCAGGAGTTTCCATTAACAGTTTTATGATAGATTACAATAGAGTAGAAAATTGCTTGCGACGGAAATTGCACCCTGTTGGTGTTATCGTAGATGCTGGATGTGGGGGCACTGAGGATGTTATGGACTTTGTAAGTATAGAACATACAATGATCTTAGTCTTCTGGGAATGTTCTTCAGAGACATTGATGCGTGTGAATTCTTTGACTGATAAATGAGTAGCTGAGTTTATATTCCCTTTTTTTACTTTCAAATTTGAAACACTATCCAGTTAAATATTTTAAGACAAGCTTAATGTCTCAGGCATTCTTGTTAGCATCTAGATACAGGGAAAATATGATAGGTACAAAGTCAAAGTCAAGTCATTTATTTCAATTAGACCTGTACAATCACTTTTGTACATCAAACAAAGCTTAAAGATAAAAATTGTCAGTCTGTCGGTCAGTCCTCTTAGTCAAACTATTTGCTCGTTCCACAGTGTAGATTCCAAAGGAGAAGACAAGCGAAATAAACAGAAGGATTAACTAAAAATCGCGGGTTTCTCACGTGTATATATTGAGAAAAGCTCTACTAGTTTCGAACCACAGAGGGGTTCTTCCCCGCGATTTTTAGTTAATTTAGTATGTTCACGATAGTTATTATAAAAACATAGCACAGAAGGATATATAAATAAAATTAAGCCAATATATTTTTATCTACAGGTTTCCCAAAATATGTTGTTGGACTCAAATCACAAATGGCTCCTTATTGACGATGACGAAGCTTATAAAGTGTATAATGAAACTGAGGTCGATATGATCATGGCTGACAGTGGTAACGGGAGCTTGATTGAAATGCTTCAACGTTTGAATATCAGCGTAGATGCTGATATTGTGACGGGTTTTAGAGGTATGCTGTGTTCTTGAAATTAATCGTAAAATAAATTTATGATTTTGTAATGCGTTGCGTTAATGTTCGATGCGTCCGCACAACACACCTATCACCCAGCGCCAATCCTATTGTTGGAACTTTCTTTCTCAATAAAATGAATAAAAAAAGTGTTGGAACACTGGCATTTGTAGAGGATGAGCTTAAAAGCATACACATTTCCATACACATCGTCACCAAACAACAATAGTCACCTTACAAAAAATTGGTTACTGCGGGAATCTTGAACTTGGGATACGTTGCGCTGCAGCCAGCTGCACATCCATCTGCTTCCGCACTCAGGAATGTGATCATTGAAATTAAGTTACCATGTTCGAGTAGAAATCTTTGTTTCATAATGATAATAAATAAATAAAATTTAACAGTTTATTTCAAAGTAATACAGTTCTAAACTCACCATGTCAAATATCTAGGAAGTGATAGTATAAAGGAGAGGAAATGACTTTATCCTGCCGTTCAAAGCAGGCATCTTATTTCCTGCACTAGTATAGTTCGTATCCTGTATTTACTCGATATTGTTGTACAACAACGCTGAGACGTAGTTGCTATAAGACGTATTTTCCTAGAATATTAAGATTTTGTACAAGTCAGATCCTATATCTGACTGATGGTGATAGAGTTAAAAGCAATAAAATTTGTTTTTTTTTTTTTTTTTTTTATTATAAACGTAGCCCTACAGCAGCATTTTTCCTGTGTCGTAGTTGCGTTTACAAACATACAATTTCACATACACATCACACCCAGACCCGAAACAACAATTTGTGGATCACACAAAGAGTTGTTCCGTGCGGGAATGAACCCCGAACACGTTGTGCGACAGCCAGTTGCCCAGCCACTGCAGTCGTCAACCGTGTAATCAATGTTAACTATATAACATCATGTCATACACATCACCAGCCTACAAGTGACAGCAGACAGGCCCTGCTGAGTAAATGCCTCTTCGTACACTATGAAAAACTCATGCCTAATTAGAAATTGTAAGATCAGATTTTCTGACTAATTTTTACTTCGCCCCGTGATATTTTTACTTTACCCATAAAAGTGGTGTCTAAAATAACTTAGAGAGTACATAGAACTCGGTAGAACTCGGAAAAAAGTCACATTAGCATGTGCAAGATGCATCTTAAACCACGTACATGAGAATCAGACGCCTTAACATGCAGGTGTGAGATTTGGTATATAAAAGATCAATTGAATTTATTATTAACATTTTTGCAATCTCATGCAAAAATGTTAATAATATATTGCGAATTTGTTTCTGGACCCAACTAGGATAACACCCACTAGTGCCACTTGCCTGGACAATATTTATACTGACATTGTGCCAGTTAACAAAGAAATAATTTCAGTACTTGATTCCGATCACTGTGGTCAGTTAATTTCTTTAACAAAAGAAATAAATATAGTATCAAAACAATTTATCACAGTATTCATGAAACAATGAAACAATGAAACAATGAATTTATTTTTGCAAATAGGCCATAAAACGGCACTTTTACACGTCAATTTATATGTGAAAAACTAGATGAATTTTTTTTGATAAAATTATAAATTGATTCGAGCACATAGATAACAAGGAAATTGTTAAAATCTTTAATACTTTGAATAACAAAAAGACTGCAGATCTATGGGGCAATTCTGTGTATATTACAAGCTCTGTAATAACTATTGTAGCACCTGTATTAGCTCAAATCTTTAATAACTGTATTGACTGTGGTGTGTTTCCTGATCTTATGAAATGTAGTAAAATAATTCCATTATTTAAATCAGGTAGTACTTCTGACCCCACTATTTTTAGACCTATTTCAGTGCTACCTACGTTCAGTAAAATTTTTGAAAAAATTATTTTAGATCAAATGCAAAGATTTTTTAATAGAAATAAATTATTACATGCGAAACAGTTCGGATTTACAAGGGGTCGTTCAACAACTGATGCCGGTGTTGAACTTCTTAATCACATTTACGACGCGTGGGAGGACTCAAGCGACGCTTTGGGAATATTTTGTGATTTATCCAAGGCGTTCGATTGTGTGCTTCATGATACACTGATCAGGAAGCTATCCCATTACGGAATAAGAGGTGCATCTCTGGACCTTCTTACCTCATACCTGAGTAATAGGGTTCAGAGAGTTGAAGTAAACGGAGTGGTTTCTGCCGGGTCTGTTGTGAAGATGGGTGTTCCGCAGGGTTCTATTCTCGGCCCGTTTTTATTTCTTATCTATATTAATGACTTGCCTTACCTTGTAAGGGATAAACACGAGATAGTGCTGTTTGCTGATGATACCTCACTATTATTCAAACTCAGACGACGACAATTAGTTATTGACAATGTAAACAGTGCTCTCTCAGAAATAGTTCACTGGTTTGGTGTTAATAACTTATTACTAAACGAAACTAAAACTAAATGTATTAAATTCACAACACCAAATGTTAAACAGGTAAAAACCAGTGTGCTTGTCAAGGGCGAGGAGTTGAGTCCTGTAGATACAACTGTCTTTTTAGGTATAACCCTGGACGCTAAGCTCCAGTGGGGCCCTCATATAGATGGCTTGTCGAAGAAGCTCAGTTCTGCAGCATATGCCGTTAAAAAAATTAGAAATTTAACAGATGTAGATACAGCGCGGTTAGTTTATTTTAGTTATTTCCACAGCATCATGTCATACGGTATTTTGTTGTGGGGGAATGCTGCTGACATTCAGTCTATTTTTGTTCTGCAGAAAAGGGCTATTCGATCAATCTATAATCTTAGTCCGAGGCATTCGCTCAGAGAATTATTTAAGGAAACTAAGATAATGACGGTTGCCTCACAATATATTTATGAAAATGTAATTCACGCTCATAAAAACAAAAGCTTATTTAAGAAGCATAGTGATATACATAATATTAACACGAGGGGGAAAAACAAATATGTTGTCCCTGCCTCCAGGCTTCAGAAAATAACTAGTTCGTTTAGATGTCAATGTATACGCTTTTACAATAAAATTCCTAGCGATATTCAAAATTTGAGCCTCAATAAATTTAAAAGTGTAATAAAGGCTAAACTTTGCTGTAAAGCATTTTATAAAATAAAAGACTACTTAGAGGATAGTCAGGCATGGGAATGAGCCGCTGTAATGTCTGCACAGGTCATGTTGACATGTTTGTAACATAAGTTACAATTTTATATACAATTTGACATTACGTTTATTTTTTATTTTTTATACAATGACATAATCACCTATTGTGACATTTTATTTTTTATTTTTTTGACATTTTTTTTTATTTATTTATTGACATTTTTATTATTTTATATTATTGTTAGTGTAAGGACCGTGTGAGACTTGCCGTGCTTTTTGATTACCAGTTATCTGCGTTCTGACAGTTTGAGTACTTGCGCGACCCACCCAAATGTTCTTTAGATCGGTATTGTTCGTCGGACAACTCAGCAGCACTAGCTATACTGGTTGCAAACTGACACTTGCGTGCCTGTCTTCAGAACGGGTCCACTTAAACTGGTGTGGTTCTTTCCTCAAAAGACCACTACAGAATGAACTTGCACGATTCTCTCACATTATGTTATTTTTACATTGTCTGGACTTGAAAAGAGACTGACCTCTGAGTTTGTTTCGGCATTTCTTCTCAGAGTAGTCAGATAGGAAATGCCGGCTTCATCTAGTTTTTCACATATAAATTGACGTGTAAAAGTGCCGTTTTATGGCCTATTTGCAAAAATAAATTCATTGTTTCATTGTTTCATTGTTTCATGAATAAGTAAAGACATAAACATAAAGTGAATAAATAGTAAAATATATTAGACATTTTCTATTATTTTAATTATGTACAACAGCAATATAAAAAAGAAAAATTACATAAAAAGAGAGAATTCACTTAACTTAGCTCAACGCCAACCCGCCAAAAAGTGTCATACATTATTTTACAACATTATTCCGAACAGTCATACTTTCCCGCCAAAATTGACAAAACTGAGACAAGCAAACTTTCTAGACAAATAACTAAATTCACAATTGAAATCAACTAATTTAAACAAAACAAATCTTATTTAAAACGTATAGCGATCATTTTAATATTTATTTTAATCATTACACATGTAAGCTTTTATATATCAAATTTAATAAACATTAAACAATAACAATGGATACCTCGTTTTCATGTGCGTTTTCAGAGACAGTTAACATTAAGAAATATTCAATAATTTTTCATTTAAAGTTTGTTTACAGAGATAATTAAATATAAAAATATACAATAATCTGTCACAGGCTGCAGGCAGGCATCACAATATGCATATCTCCCAACTTCATATATTTCACGATCTACATACTAATTTTGGCTGGAGATGAAATGCTTAAACATATTCCAACAAATATTTTTTATGTTCATAATTGGAATATTCATCAAACAATCGATGTACACGAACCATCGTATCTTAGCTATTATTTAAATAAATTGTCACCCACATCCCCAAACCATTAAAAGCTTAATAAATGTAGAAGAAGACAATTAAGAAAATGTTCCAAAGAAAAAAGGTTATTATCAGAACTTAAGTTTTATCTCTAGATCTCGGTAACTAACGACGTGTGAAAGTGGTACTTAAGATCTTATCGATAAGTACTAAGAATAAGTATCTGCTTTACTTGGAGAAAAGTAACTCGATGTAGTTAATTTATCAGAGATATTGGCTTTGGATTATGTCATTTTGGCATTGGTTTGTAAAGGTAATAATTTTCATGTATTGATTAAGGGTTCGTCCTTGAAAAGTCGAATTGAATTGAGCGATAAGTTTAATTTTATAGTATACACATTTTTCTCTAAATCTATGAGCACAAATTTTAAGCCTAATCGTAATAAAAAATTCATACATGACATACATTATCCACGAACTTGCGAAAAAAGGTAAGAAAAATAAACTTAAGTTATGATGAAAAAACATGAATTTTACCTTTTATTATTTCCTAGTTTTTGCTAGTAAATTCGAACTTATGAGTTATTGCAGACTATAATGTGCCTCAATGCTAAATTTCATTCGGATCAATTCCGTATATTTTACGTGAAAGACTAACAAACACCGATCTACCCAACCATACATCTGGACTAACAAAAATTCATCATACGGAGAAGGTTAGAGCATTAATCACCACGCTTGCTCTATGCAGGTTGGCGATTTCAAACTTATAATTAGAAATAAGTAATAAAAAAGTCCAGGTTTCCTCACGATGTTTACCTTAACCGTATGTCAGTGGTGTCTAAATAATCATAGAAAGTACATGTAAGTCTGAAAAAGTCACATTTGTACTTGCCAGGTTTTGAACCCACACTCTCATGCATGAGAAGCGGAGCTGCTTAACCTCCGGACCACCACGACATTTTTAACAAACATTCACGTTTATAATATTTGAACAATTATTTTCAGAGGACACCAGATATATTCTTCAAGAAGTGTTCAATTATGGCAAAGTACAAGGAGGCAATTTAATTATTCATGAAATTGGATCCTGGGATCCTGATTACGGTTTTAATTTGTCTATAGATCTGAATGGATACAAATATTACAGGCGATGGGATTTCCAAAATATATCCATGAAATTTATCCTAGTTGTAAGTATCCGTTACGTAAATGTTATGATTTGGTATTATTAAGCCTGATTTTGGGAAAGGGTAAGGATAAACTTCATAATTTTCCTATTAGCTTTTTGTTTTAACTGCATATAATAGCAAGAAATTAAACTAAAGTTGTATGTGTTGAATTGCTATTGTTTAAATAAATGCTTACCCACTTCAGAAGTTTACATAAATATGAAAAATTTTGTTGACAAAAAGGTGTTTTTTTAGGTCCAACCAGTACCAGATCATTTTGATCCAGAATCGCTATTAGGTTTGGAGGCAGTTCCCGGGGTTGCCATGATGACACAAACATCTGCTACCATCCTTTATGCAGTCGCTAAGATGCACAACATAAGGTAACACATACAACCAGACCTGCCTGTTTCTTTGAATAGCATCCAGATCGCTTAGACATATTTTGAGTTATCATTAACCTATGTGTTACATAATTCCATTCAAACTCAATAATACATTTCTCGATAAAGAAGTTGGCTGTGAGTATCCAGGCTCAATATTAACACTTAGAGCCTATCAAAATTAAAAATGTTAGAATTGTATTATGTTAATTATGACACGCAAATAATTTGAATGATTTATTATATTCCTAGTTACGTTCCCACCATCACTGATAGATGGATCGGCACGTACGAAAAGAACGCTACCAGAGTAAGTATTAACTGACTACTTTCGTAAGCTTATCTTCTTATAAATTGCTTTGATTTGATAAATTGGACCTAATATCGAACCCTGAGGAATAGTTCAAACCTTTTTAACAAGTTTACTGGACAACTGTGGGCGTATTACGATCTCTTAATTCCAGTCAATTTACACCTTAAAATGAACTGCCTTGTTTATCCGTATTATGACGTCTTATTGCCAGTCAGTTAGCAGTCACGTGACACTTGACCGATTTCTGCACGTACATTGGCTGGCAAACCCGTATTATGACCACCAAACTGACATTTCTTAGCTTGCTCAAATGTCAAAATTTGTGTCAAACAAACCAGTCAGTTTACGCCGGTGTCGAGTAGCTTTTACTGAATTGTTTTAAGTTTTTATCACATACTGTTTACTATAACATTAAATATGTGTGATGAGTTAATAATCTTCGAGTTTCTTGAAAGTGATGCGTCACAAGATAACCACCAAACAAAAATTCAGAGGACGCGTCTTCGAGATCTTAGTGACCCTTTTGCGATTGAAGATGTTGAATTTATTTTATTATAAATAATGTAGGTAATACTTACGCCAATATTGAGTAGACAATATTTATAAACAACTTTAAACAGGGATCCTGTAAACGGATTCCTTTGCTCAACAAAGAAAAGCAGTTTTAGTTCTCCTTCTTTTTAAAAAAAATAAATGGACTTCATTAGTTAAAAACCCTTATTATAACAAAAATCTTTTATTTTTGCCGGGTGAGCTGTTATCACCTATCCTACCTCCTATTACTTACGTTCAGAAATGTAGCGTATGTCTAAAATGTATGTTGTGAGACAGTGCTGTATTTTCATATTTATGACATTGTACTTACGCATATAATACATAATTCGTTTTTGAACTCATTTTTAATCTCGATTCTGTTAGAAAATTAAATTATATAATATATTACATTCAATTTTCAAAAACCGTAATATACCAGTAACCCTTTTAAGATGTTTTCGAACGCAATCTTTCTAGAGGGTGGAAACCAACCACAGACAATCATCCAGGATGAATCCAGTCAGTAAAACGTACGTCATAATACGAAAAAGAACCACGCAGTTTACGGCCTTAAACTGACCTGCCAGGAAACAAACTGGATTTTAAAAAGGTTGTAATACGCCCCCTGGTCCAGGAATTTTCTACTTTCAACGAGACTAACAAACAGATATTCACTTTCACAATCACGGAGCAGGGTACCGCGACCTTTGTGTAATCCACAAACTGATGGCTCACGTTTAGAAAGAAAGAAAGGAAGAAAGAAAAACATTTATTTGAGACTAGTTTAGATGTGAACCTATGTAAATTGAATGATTGTATATGTAGTCTCGATGTACGACAAAACCTTACCATAAGGTTAAATAAACATCCTCTGTTGCAGGTGGTATCAAATAGCTTGTACTTCCGAGAGCAAGATTTGTCTCCAGTAATACGGTTTCAGTTGGTTCAAGATCGAACCGATGTCCTACTTCCCCCTCTTACTTCTATTGAGTAAGTACAGCTAAATAAGAATTAAAAATTGTCTAAGCTGTCGTATCTATCAAAGTAAATAAGTATATAAAAAGCACAATCAACAAAATAAATCTTCGGGGCAAGCAATTCTAAGCAAGCAATTATAATATAATATTTGTAGTACAGAGCAAGCCTTGCAATATTTAAAACTTCTAGAACTTCTAGAACTTGCAATACAGTTATCAGTTAATCATAGAGATGTTGCTTTAGCAAGAAGATAAATATACAAATGAAGGTTTAATAAAAATAAATGTAAGATACCAGAATTTTCGTAGCCCTAATCCATATCTTGGTTTTTACAGAACTAGATACTTCTACCGGATACCAACAATTGGCCCTGGAAAGTTTGAGAATCAATTTTTAAGACCTCTGAGTCCCACAGCATGGTGGAGTGTCATCGGAGTATCAGCATTGTGTTCTGCATTACTGCTAGTCTCTGCTTTATTTGAACATCGTCCATCGTCTGTGCAGTACGCTTTATTCTCTGTCATAGCTTCAATTTGCCAGCAATGTATGTATTCGTTTTAAATCCTAGTATTTACGTATCTTCTATAGTAATACTGCATGACACTCTTTCAAAATCATTTAAAGCAGCTTGTAGATTAGTAATCTTTGTATTCATCTCATTTTTTGAGGGGGTAATCCATCAAATTACTATTCTCGCTCCGGCTTGGGGCAGGAGTCTGACACTCCTTCTGAGGCGAGAAGGAGTGTCAGACTCTTAGTAACTATAACCACCCCGTACCTTCTCCTACCCCAAGCCGGAGCCCTGGTTCCCTGTTGCGCTAGTCCCGAAACCCCGCCCCGGCTAAATTATTATCAGTACTCCTAAAGATTAATTACATGAAAAATGATATGGAATGAGCGACGCCGAAATTGTATACATTTTTACATTTAATGCACAAGGAAGCTCTTAACGCATATTTATGTGAGTTTTCCTTACAACGCTGTCTCTGTTGCAGTCTTTCAAGACATCGATGACGGTGGAACCCAGAGAATTTCAATAGGTAAGCATCGAATAGTTTGTCTCCGAAAACAGAGAGAAATGATATTCTAGTATTACAACGATCTGCTAATCTGATGACGGGTGGGCGTTACTTGTGAAGTTTCTAGAAACCATCCATTAAGTACAATGACTGACATTCGATTAAGTTCCTTTGATACCGCGAACTTATCAACGTCAAGTCATAATCAAGATTCATGTCAGGTTTTGAAATTAGCGCTAAACCACACCCTACTTTTTGTAGTTTGATTGATTTTCTCGAAACTTCTATAGTTGATGCGATTTCGTGAAAATGTTGAGGTCGTCAAACTGTAAGAGATTGGAGATAATTCTTGTCTTAATCTTACCAAACTGAGAATACGATAGGTTATTTCATATTGTTTTTTATTTCGAACAATAGTTTACTTCTATACTATTGTTCGAAAGGCGTTTACTTCCAAGTGACAAAACTTATATCATCGACTGTGACCATCACCAAAGAAGACTCGCGGAGTACCGTCATTAAACCGTATTGCTTTGTTGACTGCGCAACGTCATCGCGACTCGCTCACTGCTATGAATACTAGAGTAGTTGTGACTTAAAACTAGTAGATCTATTCTCAGTTGATTCATGAGACTAAGGCGTTATTTTCAATTAATTTAACGTTACTTTGTGTTTCGCCATTTGAGTCAGGTTGACAAAGGCCCAATTATTTTACCCCCAATCCCCATAACCCCAAGTAATCTACAAATGCCAGCATCGCACTTGTAACTTTAGTGTTAGGGATGAAACACTGAACCATAAGTGGCACTGATTGCTTACCATCAAGTGATCCTTAATTCCTGTTTTCCTTAACAACTCTTTCGATTTTCTGCTTTCAGCTCGTAAAGTCACAATTCTTGTGACTGGTCTTTCCTGCGTGCTCATATACAACTACTACACCAGCTCCGTGGTAAGCTGGTTGCTGAACGGTCCACCACCTTCCATCAACTCCTTGAAGGAACTCCTGGAGAGTCCGTTAGAACTGATCTACGAGGATATTGGATATACAAGGTCTTGGTTACAGGTGATTAATCAGTTTAAGACATTACCCTTATCTGTATCTCCAGATAAAATTTTATGTTTTAAAAATAATAGGGATACACACAAATCTTTGAAGATTGTCTAATACTATATAAACTTATTAAATATAATGAAAATAGGATGTTAAATTACCGTTTCTTAAGTATTATTAAATGACCCCTCATTTTGGTTAAATACAGCTTCTTTTAGATTAATTTAAAACATAAGACATGTATGTATTCTTTAAATACAAAATCAATTATATTCGACCGTATATTGATTTGAAATTACCTTGTAGCGTATCTACTACTCCTAAAATTTAATTAGTTTTTTAAGTATTGTTTTCTTACATGACGAAATTTGTGTACTATTGTATTTTTTACTATTTGCTATGCATTTATGTACTATTTTAAAATAATATTAAGTTAAGTATTAATGTAACAACTACTGATTGTCCAAATAAATAAATCAAGGTCGTGGTAGCCCAGAGATTAAGGTTTCTCATGCATGAGTTCTAAACTTGACAAATTCCAAATTTGACTTTTTCTGGAGTCTATATAAACTTTGTACGTGTTTAAGGTCACCGCTAACCGTTAACCATCTAGTAAAACATTCCTAGGAAATTAGGATTTATACTTTCTAATTATAAATTTGAAATCAACAATTCGCCTTTCGCAAGCATGGTGAATAATGCCCTAACCTTCCCCGTATGAGATAAGGCATTTGTTCAGCAGTGACCACAAGGTTGATAATGTAAGATAATACTACAAAATAAAAAAAAATTGCCAAAAAAATTTCAACTATTTAACCAACGGACATACTTTGTCGTCATCTTTATTATCTCTACTTCTAGAATCCTTCTTACTACTATAATGGAAAGAACGCCGCCATAGAAGACGAGCTACGAAAGAAAAAGGTTTTTAACAAGAAAAAGGGTTCTCCGTTACTGGTGCCTTTGGTGCAAGGGATCAAGATGGTGCAGGACGGAGGTGAGATACATCATACTTATATTATGAACGCCTAAGTTCTTAAGTATGGATGGATAGATGGATTGTTTTTTATTGAAACTTACGCGATCAGAGAGATACCATAGCCTCACATAAAACTGGCGTGAAACAAACAGATCGTTTTATTTCGCCAAGTGAGTGAGGTTGCCGGAGGCCCAATCCTTCCCCGCCCCCAATCCCTCCTCAATCCCTAAATCTCCAAATCCCTAATCCCTAAAAGTTCGGCAACGCACTCGTAACTCTTCCGTTGCGGGTGTCCATGGGCGGCGCTGATTGCTTACCATCAGGTAATCCATCTGCTCGTTTGCCGACCAATTACATAAAAAAAAACATAATTCTTCCTCTCCACCCATCCCTATCCAATACCTAAATTCCCAAAAGGTTGGCAACTTACAACTCCTTTATTGTTGCCCATGGGTGGCGTCGATTGCTTACCACGAGATAAACCGTTTACTACATAAAAGATACAACGCCATGGTTCTGAATTAAATTTGATACAGAGATAGATCAATCATAGGCTACGTTTTAATCTAGCACCGTGTTCAAAGCAACTGGTAGAAGCTAGTCAGTTGAATAAACCTTTTTCATAAGTAAAAGGAGTGAGTTACAAAATTACACACGCCATTTTATACTATATGACATGGCATGATATACACAGTCATCAGCCTACGCCAGCATCGCCCAGTTGTCTCAGTCCCAGTGTCAGACTCCTGCTCTGGACTGGAGCCGCCAGATACTGCATTCGATGTTTAAACTGGATGTGTATTTTTTTTCTGTTAAACAAACCCTTTTCTATTATAACGAATACCTAGGTACTACAAAACTTATAAACTTATTAATTCGGGAGGTAAGCGCATAGTGATATTGCATTTTAAAAAAAGAACACTACCTATAACATTTCTGTTTTGGTCATTTTGAATTTTTCTTATTCATTCATTTATTTTTAAATATTTTTCATTGTTCTAAAGGCGGCAATAATTTGAATTTAGAAAGAGAACATGATATACTTCCGTCCTTGTCATTTTGGGTGTGACGCCATTGGCGTGTCTTTTGTTTTTATTTTACATTTCTTTAAAGGCGGCAATAATTTGGATTTAGAAAGAGAACATGATATACTTATATCCTTGTCATATTGGGCGTGACGTCATTGACGTGTCATTTGTTTCTATTTTACATTGTTTTAAAGGCGGCAATAATTTGGATTTAGAAAGAGAACATGCTATACTTCTATCCTTGTCATACTGGGCGTGACGTCATTGGCGTGTCATTTGTTTTTAATTTGAATTGCTCTAAAGGCGGCAATAATATGGATTTAGAAAGAGAACACGATATACTTTCAGCCTTGTCATTTTGGGCGTGACGTCATTGCCGTGTCATTTGTTTTTATTTTACATTGCTTTAAAGGCGGCAATAATTTGGATTTAGAAAGAGAACATGCTATACTTCTATCCTTGTCATATTGGGCGTGACGTCATTGGCGTGTCATTTGTTTTTAATTTGAATTGCTATAAAGGCGGCAATAATTTGGATTTAGAAAGAGAACACGATATACTTTCAGCCTTGTCATTTTGGGCGTGACGTCATTGGTGTGTCATTTGTTTTTATTTTACATTGCTTTAAAGGCGGCAATAATTTGGAGTTAGAAAGAGCAAGAAAATAATACTCAATATTTTATTGCGTTTCATTGTGTATTATCTATACTAATATTACGAAGAGGTAAAATTTGTAAGTTTGTCAAATCAAATCAAATCAAATCAAAATCATTTATTCCAACTAAACCATAAATAGGTACTTTTGAAACGTCAAAATAGAATAGTAGTCTGTCAGTCTGTTCGTCAGTGAAGCTAGGTGCTCGTTCCAAATTGTAGTTTCGAATGGAGAAGAACGAGCAAGAAACTCCAAGAAACAAACCTGGACTTAAAATTTCTAATCATTAGTTTGAAATCGCCATCCCACATTAAGCAAGCGTGGTGACTAATGCCTTTTAATTAGAAGCCTTCTCCGTGTGAGAAGAGGCCTTTGCTCAGCAGTGGGCACTTATAGGGTGGTGATGTAAAAATGGACCGCAAAAATATATCAACTTTAATGAAAAAAAGACATGTTAATTCGGTAATGAATTTGGATTTAAATTTTTCATTTTATAATTCAAGTTTTATTTATTTATTAGTAGTTGTGTAATGTAAATTTATAATTTTAACCCGGATTAAATTGTATTTTTTTCTAATTGTCTATTTCTTATTCATATTGATGTTACCTATTTAATACTATGGGCCTCGATGCCAGAGAATAAAAATATTTTATATTTTTTTAAAATGTAAATTAGCGCATACCTTAACAAAGCCTGGACCAATTTTACTATTTTTTTTTTTTTGTTATTTGTTAAAGTCAAGAGAAGGTTCTTATTACAGAAAAAATTTGAAAACAGATGAATTTTTCCGTGTGAAGCAGGGGCGAGCCGCTAGTATGATATAATAATTTTTGTATGTTCCACAAATAATTGTTCTGGGTTTGGATGTGATGTGATATATATGAATCCCTCAATCCCTCCCCGATCCCAAAATCTCAAAATCCCTAAGCCCCAAAGATCGGCAACGCACTCGTAACTCCTCCGCCGTTGTGGGTATCCATGGGCGGCGCTGATTGCTTACGATCAGGTAATCCATATGCTGGTTCGCCGACCTATCACATAAAAAATGAAATTAGGTAATTTTATTTGTTACGCATACGGGAAAAAATGCTAAACTGAGACAAATTTAAATGAATGTGAAAAACATACATGTGTTTTTATTATAACTTTCGTGAGACATTCAAAATTAATTATTATGTTTTCGGCTTTATCACGTAATAATTTGACGAGATACTCGACTAGTTTCAAGCCATGCTAGAGGCCCATATTCATGAGAAGCATTCCGCGACACGGACGCGGCAACTGTCGCGCTGCTACTCTAGCGATATCTATATGGGCATGGGCGAATATGGGCCTCTAGCCGAGTATCTCGTCAAATTATTACACGAGTAAGCCGAAAACATAATAATTAACATATATGTGTATTTACGTAAGATAAAAAGGCTTAGTTTTAAGAGCTATGTTTTCCATTTTATTAATCTCTCTCTATCAAAACATTTATTCTTGCTACAGACAATCGTAGAGTTAATATAATGAGATCACTAATACTATAAGCCTAAACCGGCCTATGTCAAAAATAGGTCTCAAACGAACAAAAAATGGTCACAATATACTTCCTAAAAGTATTAGTGAAAACAATATCGAGTGAAATACTTGCGTCGTGAGCTTCATAAGGGTAGCAGGATCGATGCCCACACAACTCGTTCCTGGGCACCGTTTTTATACACACGTTTCCGAAATTGGAGTTCCGTTATAAATTGCTGTAATTTACTACGACCGGGATCGTTTTTCTATGGTATTAGATTTGTACGAAGGTCCTGTATGGAAAAAGTTGCGGGATTTGCACCTGCGACTTTCGTAAGGACGTTTTAGGGTAATATGAATATGCTAGCACGTCATTTTCTTTTTGGCGAACTTGTTGCAAAAATCAGTTTTATGTTTTGAGTCATAAAGTAAGAAATAACAGTAACATAATGTTTCTATGTGTATTTTTAATACTTAACAGTGTGAGTGAAGTTAGTAGAGGTCTAAAATTCCGATTCCATTAGCCCCAGAATTTAATTCTCTAATCTCCTAAAGGCTGGCAAAGTGCTTGCAACGCCTCTGGTGTTAAGCGCTTCCATGGTCGGCGTCCATTGCTTACCATGGGGTAAGCCACGTTATTGCCCATTTAATTAAATAAACAAGTGTTTTGACAAAGACTTATTATTTTCTCATAAATAGTTTTTCAAAGACAAATAGTTTCTGGTAACGAGGTTTAGCTTTTTCTAACCGATGCACCTTAACTTTATCATTGTTGGAACACCTTTTATCTAATCACTCAATCAATCAATTCTGACTGCACGGTTGGTGCGGTGGCTGGGCAACTGGCTGGCGTGCAACGTGTCGCGGGTTCGATTCCCGCACGGAAAAACACTTTGTGTGATTTACATATTGTCGTTTCAGGTCTGGGTGTCTAGTGAATGTGAAATTAGGTGTTTGTATACGCACCCACGGCACAGGAGAAAATCCTAGAGTAGGCTAACATTAAAAAAAAATAAACAGAGCATTATACGCCAGAATGCACAGATTTTGAAACTAGGAACAATCAATGAACATGATTGTCAATCAATGAACATTGAAACTATAGCGTGGCGACTGCCATTCAATGGTTTCACTGGATAATTTCTAATTGCATGTCATTGCATAACAATTGAAATTGTTGAATGTCAATTATTGCTTGACGTCATAAATAACTCACGTCACATAGACAGATTGGGTTTATTCGCATAGAAATACGAAATTTGGGTATTAAAAAAAAAATCACAGTGCTAATTTTCGCAAAAACTAGTGGATCAATACCTTTCATTATTCGCATTTTTGTTCTTCCTAGAATTAATCTACATAATTTCTTACTTCTTCTGCAGGCTACGCTTACCACACAGAAGTGAACAGCGCCAACGCGCTGATATCCAGAACATTTACACAAAGCGATCTCTGTGAGCTAGGATCTCTCAAGTCCATGGAGAAAACGGTGTTGTACCCATGTCTGCAGAAGCATAGTCCTTACAAGGAGTTCATGACTTGGAGGTAATAATGTTTTTCATCATATTCTTTTTAAGTGATAGGACGGCAAACTAATTTACGGATTACCTAATAATAAGCAATCGGCGCCACCCATAGACACTCACAACACCGAAGGAGTTACAATTGCGTTGCCGGCATCTCGAGATTTAGGGATTGGGGAAGGATTGGGGGAGGGCCACAAGGATTAGGCCTCGGGTAACCTCACTCACACGGCGACAGACACGTGGTTGTTTCTCGCCGGTTTTATCTGAGGCCTTGTCATCACTCCGATTGAGCCAACCCATTCATGCTGCAGCATGGTTCTCCCACTATGATACAAGGATTTGTTTTTTTACCAATTGACCAAAATTATTATATCAACAGTTGTACTATATTATTCTTTAAAATTGATTGGAGTACGGCGGACTTGATGTTATAAGGCATTGTCTAACAACAGCGGAGGTGGTAAAGATTCTCCAAATTGGTGTTTGTTCATATAATTTATATCAATTTGTGCATTATATTTGTCTTGCATCAAGCATTTTCTACGTTTCTAGTGCTTAACCAAACATATCACTTATATTTTCATCATTCCAGTCTTATGCGTCTTTCGGAGCAAGGCATAGTTTCCTGCATTCAGATCAGGAGGTTATCATTCGAGGTAAAGTGCGAAGGCAGTTCCCCTCGAGCCCTCGCGTTAGGAGGAGCAGCACCAGCGTTCATACTCCTTGCTGGAGGATACATCCTCGCTACCATCATCATGCTTATTGAAAGGTAATGTTGATTTTACCCGGTGACTCTTTCTCATGGTCTCTAATCTGTAGTAAAGTATTAACCGAACGAGTTTTTATGTATTTATTTTTCTTCATAACATATGTATTGAGTTACATAATTATCATAGTCTAATACTTATTAGATCAAGACATTTTAAAATGTGTTGGTAAATGCATAAGCAATGCCTGGACCAAGTAAGGATTTATAATATATTTTTTATAATACGGGAAAATTGGTAAGCAGTTACTCTTTCATAGGTCGTACTTGCACCCCTGTGCAAAGCAGTAACGGTCGAGTAGTATATAATATATACAATATCCTAAAATAAAATATAAAAGTATCTTTTTCAAAAAAGGTTATGTTATTAAGTTACGTTTACAATATGATTTATTTCTATATCCGTTCTTTTTCCTTTACAGAATGATTTTCAAAATAAATCATGCAAATAAAATTCCAAAAGCAACGGCCGCAGCTTAGTGAACAAGATAACACCCATTATAGGACGAGAAATTATCAGTGGCACTTATTTATTACTTTTAGCTCTTAAGTATAGAAACTTAACACAAAAACCTACATGCAATTTAACTGTTTAGAACACAAGTAAATTCATATACTAAATATCTATTGTTTTCATATTATTTGAATTAACCCGAAACCTAACCCTTAGCAGTCATTACAACTAGACCATCTCAACAATACGATTGAAACAAATAAAAACACCTCTCCACTATATGAAAACGACAGCCAAACATACAAATCCAATTCAATTCTATTAGAAAACAACACAACACTTCAACATACGCTTGTTTTCAATACAAAAACCACATTTTTGGCATTGCAACATACATTTTTGTATCAAAAATCGAAAATATAAGTTTTTGGGCAACGAAGCGGCGTTCTTCAATCAATAACCTGGCAGAACGCCACGGATTATGGACTCTATCTATTAAAATAAATCCATTTGTAACAACTAACGCGTTGACTTACATACCCTTTGTTAGCGAAAATTGGACCATTCCTATTTCAGCGAATATTTCATTGAGTTTGCACAAAATATTACAATCAAAGTCTGACTGGTTTTGTAAGGCTTTTTCCAGTAGAAGATTTCTTTGTTTAGCTGAAATGAATGTGTTCCAGATGACATCTTTATAGTTAATGGTATTTGAATTAATATAATAAAACGATAAAAGCCTTTATTAACTCGCCATACAACATTTTATCATAAACAAGTGTGGGAGAGCCAAGCTTCGGCACGAATGGGTCGGCTCGACCTGAGTGATACCACGGCCTCACAGAATACCGACGTGAAACAACCACAGCGCTGTGTTTCGCCGTGTAAGTGAGGTTACCGGAGGCCCAATTCCTCCCCTCCCCCGATCCCTCCCAATCCCTAAATCTCCAAAACCCTAATCCCTTAAAGGTCGTCAACGCACTCGTTACTTTGTTGCGTTTTTAATTTATTTATAACTTGAAAACTTTTTGACTAAAAGGCAAAAAGTAAATATAATGTATATAAAAATAAATAGATGTACAACATGCAATCAGTTTATTGTTCATTTTTTATCAGTTTACTTCTCCATCCCAGGGTGGAGCGAGAAAGAGATACGGACTCCTACTGATTTCAAATGCACCTTGTACCTTAGCTTGTCGTGTTTGTGCTTTGGATAACAACAACAATTTACAAATAAACCATTTTTCACCCTATTATGAACCTTAACAAAAATAACATAATAATATTATCTCATAATTCAATGTATCTTGTTGTATAGGTTCCTAATTACTTTGTACTTTATCAAATAACCGTTGGTTCAGTTACAGTTCAGTTAACTTAGTTTGCTTAAACTTGGAAGTTAATTCGAACTCCGAGGATCATCCAGCAGGCCAGGCTTTCATACAAACTTTGCCTAGACATTCAGGTTAATTGGATACAATTTGAGCCTGTATTTACGAGCTTTTGATATTTAGATGTGGAACTACATAATATTTATATTATCTTTATGAATGTAACTTTGATTTTCCCATAACTTCCTAAATTGCTGCATATCACCTACCACACATGTCTGCACTACCAAAAGGTTGACTGGCAGAAAATGCTTCTAGCATTAAGTCCTCCGATATGCATTTTTATATAAAGAATAAATAAATAAATAAATAATGTACGTTGATGAAATCGCCGATCAAATAAAATGTACAGCTGTAAAATCAGATTAAATTTCTAATTTTAAGTTTTGAAATCGCCAAGTCGCCATGAGCTGAGCAAGCGTGGTGATTAGGTAATGCTCAAACCTGCTCACACGGAGAAGAGGCCTTTGCTCAGGAGCGAGCACCAGACCTATACACTATTGAAGTGTGGGTAAGGTAAATTTTCACATAAATGTATATCTTACAATAAACTTACTAGGTTACAGAAGAACTGCACTTATTCACAATTTAGCATTACTTGCAAATAGTATAAACCATCAGACTAGAGAGAGAATAAATAGTACTATCCGAAATGAGTTTCCACGAAACTCCACTACAAATGGCAACATAAACAAAATTACCACATAGGGTCACACATAAAGTGTCCCGAAAACTGTCGAAGGTCTGACATAAAACTCAGGTTTTGTAACTTCGATGGCAACGTCATACAAATGATTTCTATACGACTCCCAAAGATTTCCCCGGCGACAGAAAAGGTCGCAAATTGAACTCTAACGCAATTACCTTAAGATATTGTGTTTGGAACGGCTCTTAACATCTGCTTTGGTCTGCTAGTAAAATAGATTAGGGTATAACCTTCGCACTACACAACAATAGGTGTAGTTAAAACATTTTTTTTTTAAGATCACATCTTAGAACGTCTGCCAGACGAGGGCTATCGTCAGGCATAATATAGGCTTACTAGGGTGATCGAGCAAAAGAGACTGTAAAGGTGTAGACTTCTTAATCAAACAAGTTTAAATTAAATTACAACAAATCCCATTAATTAAGACATAACAAAACAAATAACAGTTCCTAGCTAAGAGGTACTGAACTCGACGACGGCTGGATAGCAAGAGAGCGATCGTCGCAGCGCCCCATCAGCTGGACTCTGTTTTAGCACGAAGTTAGGCATCAACGTCATTACGACTGTGCTGCCATCTAGGTGCCGCGCTTCGTTTACAATCCGTTCTATTGACCGTCTCCGACACACATGGATCACCGGATGCTAACTGGCCACTGTCGTCAATAATACCTAAACCAGGTACAAGTTTGACCTTTTGAAAGGGGAAGGTTTAGACTCCGGTTATTGAACTCAGACAATTACGGTAAACGTAGATGTTTCATAATAAAATGTGTAATTGATTTTTTCTTTTTTTCCAGATACTGGATTAATGTACGTTAATTATTCTTGTAGGTAATATTTAACCATGATGATATTACAAAGCTTAAGACTTTGATTTATCACTGAAATCACTGGTTCGAATCAAATAAGTTTTGTGTAGGATAGTCTATTTATCGAAAAAGTACGTACTTACTTCAAATTGTCGCAATCACACTAACAGGAGTTGCGCAGCGGGTGAAAACGCGATTGTGTAGCCAGTACATAAGAAAACTATTATTAATCTTACAAACAACACTTCGTTAACTTCTAGATTTCGTTCAAGAAACAACGCCCAAGAGAGTTTTAATCATTATTTATTTAACTTTAAAATTAGCTTTATTTTCCCATCAGGGTACTGTGTGAGATACATTGCAAGAAGTGAAGATAAGAAAGTACAGTTTACACTATAGAAAACTTAGACACTAATATTTGAAATTTTAATGAAAGATCGTTCTTTTAAAGTTCTACAGTTCCCCTTAAACTGCTCATTAAGAAAAATGTAGAAAGCTCAACTAACTAATTCAACAAAGATTCAAATAAAATTTTCTATCCATTGTCCTCAACAACAACATCATCAGCCAAGTGTGGGAGAGCCATGCTTCGGCTCGAGCAAAGTGATACCACGGCCTCAGAGAACACCAGCGTGAAGCTTACGTTGTGATACGTCGTGTTAGAGATACCGGAGGCCCAATTCTTCCCTCCTCCCCCATCATCAATTATCAAATCCCCTATCCTAAATATAGAGGCTTAACCCCTAATAACCCACAAGAGTTCGGCAACGCACATATAGTAACTTCTTTGGTACTCCGAGTATTCATGGGCTGAGCTGATTGCTTACCATCAGGTAAACATACTGCTCATTTGCCGACTTTGACATAAAAAAAAATCAACATCTTCAGCCTGTAACTGTTCCACAGCTAGCAAATAAGAAAAATTAAGAAACATATTTGTAATATTTTCCAACAAAATATTCATAAGTACCTAACAAAATTTATATCTAGAAATAAAATATAGCTACACTATATTTTTAAATGCACTCAAATAAAGTTAACATAAACTTTGACGACTTTGAATAATATAAAAATGTAAAATATATTTTTAAGGTTTTCAACTAAAATAGAATTGTTAGGAGGTAGTAAAATTTGTTATATTTACTGCCTCTAACGTAAATTTTACTGGCTGTATGCCAGTGGCTTTCGTCACCAGCATTCCAAATATGAATTTGGTACGACAATTCAACTTTAGAAGTAATTTAATGGTATAACTCAAAAGTGCTTTTGAGTTATCTATCTTAAAGTCTATTTTACAATATTTAGATAGTTGCTATGTCAAAGATATGAGATAATTATGAAGCTGGTGTAACATGCCCTTCGTAGGTTATATAACAACGTGACGCTTTACAATCTTCTTTAGGGAACGGATAGTATGCATCATCATAAGCCTGTAAGGGCCCACTGCTGAGCAAAGGCCTCTTCTCAGCACGTTTGCTCAAGGCGGATTGGCGATTTCAAACATTATGATTAAAAATTATAAGTCCATGTTTCCTCACGATGTTTTTCTTCACCGTATGTGAGTGGTGTCTAAATAATTATAGAAAGTATATGTACTTTAAACTCGGAAAAATTCACATTGGTACTTGCCAGGTTGGGATCCCGCACCTTCATGCACGAGAAGCAGGCGCTTTAGCCTCCGGGCCACCACGACATGGATGAACAGGTAGTAAGAATGTCTACAATCGGAAAAGCAGAATCCAAGACGAGGCGATTATGCCTGACTGCCCAGTATTTGTATGATAGAAATTTCCATGAATGATAAATTGAGCGCAATCTTCACTTGTTTAATGTAGGATTTGTGAAGTCATCAGTCTGTTAATTATTTTATTACTGAATAAGTGAACATCTTAAATTATTTAGTGTATACATCCACCAATGTGTTATAACTCTCGTGAACTACATAGACTTTATCATAGGGCAAGAAAATTGGAACACATCGGAAACCATTCTAACTACTGGGAATTATACGAAAAGCTAAAAATAAAACTGCTGAAAACAATAAAAAACCTAGCTAGTTAAAAGTCAGAAAAGTTATAAAATGTTTGAAAAGAAATTCCAATTGAAACAGCAAAGTATAT